AGGAGGAGGAGGAGGAAGGGACATCATCATTTGGAGGAGGAGACATAGGAGAAGGAGGATAAATGAGGAGTGCTGGTCGAGGAGAAGGCGAAGGATGCGCATGGAGAAAGAGGAGGGGGAGGGGGGGAAACGGAGGACTGGGGAAGGATGATAATGGAAGTGGAGGAGTTCGGACAAACATGGAGGAGCAGGAGAAGCATGAAAGACCATTGTAAACCCAAGGCGACTCAAAGATGTTGGAGTAAACCCTCCTTTCAAATTCCCTTCTCATGTGCCCCTAAATTTGTTTTTATTGCGGGAAGTGCCCCATTGGAATGCATTTTTTGAGAAATTCTCATGCGTGACTAACCACCATATTCTGCCTCCAACGCGGCAGATTAGCATGATTGCTGCGTCCTGACAGCCGTAAATCGTGCCAGAGCACCACTCGTGGGACTTAAACTCAGCGAGTCAACGTGACAGCTGCGTCCTGACAATTGTTCGGCGTCAGAACACAATTCCTGGGACTTCAGTCGCACGTATCCTTGAACCTGCTACAAGCGTTTAAGACGAATGTGCACGGCGCTACGGCGAAAATCCCATTTAGGAGAAAAACGCCGCCCTGTAGGCTTGACACTGTGGCACATGTTTAGAACGGATGTGCGCAGAGCTGCGGCGAATGCCACATTTTGAAAGCGGCCCACCCTCCATGATTGAAAGAGTTGCGATGTTCAAGCTTGAACGTCACAAGGAACAGGAAGCATCAGGCGAACTACCAGGCCCGCCCTACCGAAACGTCTGGGGGTGCGATTGGGGGGAGGAGGTATTCCCCCCACATCCTGACTGGGGCTTTTGTTTTCTCTGGACACCTCGCGCAGGAGAGAGGCTCACCACCCCTTCTCCTCTTCTCCCTTAACACGCATCACCCCGCGCAGGAAGAACCCGCCCACCCACACACCCACCATCATCATTACTATCACCACACTCACGCTCATCACCATCAATTCTACCATAATCATCATCATCGCCATCATAATCAGCATCATCATCTTCAGCATCAGCATGATTATCGTCAACAGCAACATAATCAGCATCATCAGCATCATCATCATCATCATTACCACCATCATCATCATCATCACCACCATCATCATCGTCAGCGGCATCATCATCATCATCATCATCATCATCATCATCATCATCATCATCATCATCATCATCATCATCATCATCATTGTCGTTATCATCATCGTTATCATCATCATCATCATCATCATCATCACCACCATCATCATCATCACCATCACCATCATCATCACCATCATCGTCACTATCATCTCATCACCATCACACGCAATTCCCAGTCCAGGCGGGAGACCCATCGTCATATTATCAGTCTGACGGCGCCTCAGGCGGGAGACCCCATCCCCATGGTCCCCCCGCGCCATATGATTATCCCGATTAATATGATGCGGTCATTGGCGTACCTATTACATGCACACGTAGTGTAACCATCAAGTCGCCAGAAGTCCATTCCGAGCACTGAGTTCGAGTGTCCGGAACCAACAGTAGGCCGCTTCGGGATCTTCGTGTTTCCCGAATTCCATTTCTGAAACTGATTTGGTGTGTCCTGGGCCGGCTGTACGCCATTTCGGGCTCTTCGTGCTCCCAGACTTCACTCTTGGGAGGTAATGTTTAATGTCTAGGGCCAGTTGTACGCCATTTCGGGCTCTTCGTGCCCCCCCAGGATTCCACTACTGGGATTGATTCGTGAAATCCAGGGCCAGCTGTATGCCACTTCGAGCTCTCCGTGCTCCCACAAGTCCTCTCCTGGGACTGATTTCGAGTGTCTAGAGCCAGCCGTAGGCCACTTTGGGCTCTTCGTGCCCCCCAGAATTCCCCTCCTGGGACGGATTCCTCCGAGTGTCCGGAGACATGTAATTGCAAGACACTTCGGGCAATTCGTGCTCCAAGAATTTCATCCCTGGTCTTACCTTTGCGCTCGAATCCTGGCATCACTGGCATCCCTGGTGCCCCTGGCATCGTGGCATCCTGAGCATCCTGGCATCCCTGGCATTCACGCGCAGATCCCGCAGTGCTGACAGTCTCACAGGTCCCCCAGTCCCCGCATGTCGCACACGCCCCACAGGTCACACAGATCCCACAGGCATCACAGGTTTCAAAGGCCCCGCAGGTGGCATAGGACGTACAAGTCCCACAGGACTCGCTGGTCCCATACGCCCCACGGGTGGCCCTGGTCCCACAGCTCCCACGTGTCGTGCAAGTCCCGCATGTCCCACAGGCCCCGCAAGTAGGTCGTACGGGGCCCCAATGTTCCACAAGCCTCATAGGTCTCGCGTATCCCACAGGTCGCACAGGTTGCACAAGCGTCCTGGGATCTTGCGATGCTGGCATCCTGGCATCCTGGCATCGTTGCAGTCCTGGCATCCTGGGATCTGGCCATGCTGTCATCCAGGCATCCTGCCCGCCTGGCATCCTTGCACCCTGGCATCCTGGCATCCCTGGCATCATGGCATCGTGGTGTCCTGGTACCCTGGCTTCCTGGCATCCTGGTGTCCCAGCATCCTGGCATCCTGCAATCTGTATTCAATGTCGTCGATTGTCACGCACATGTGCACCAAAGAGATTATCATGCGGGGTCCTTCGGATATTTTCGGGCCCCCGGGGGTCAACATGTATATATAGGGCCAATCGATATATATATATATATATGCATGCATACAGATATATATATATATATATATATATATATGCATGCATACAGATATATATATATATATATATATATATATATATATGTATGTACGCATGTACATATATCCATATCCACCGCCCGCTGGGGCACCAGTACGTCGGTTCCCAGGCGGTGGATATGGAACAATCCCCGCCTCGCATAAGGCGCAGACGAAGGGAGGCTCAAGGAGGAGGTAGCAGCGGCATCAGATGTGGACGATGACGATGATGTTGGCGACAGATGTGCCATGCAGCGCGTCCACCTCTGCCGTCACGCGAAGCGGGCCTCCGCCGCCGCCGCCACCCTGCCGTCGCGAGCGGCGAAGGCTAGTCAAGCACAGGGCGGGGGGACCTGTCTGGTGGGTCACAACACTGCTGGGCCAGCTTCTCTGAGATCCAGGCGTTGCACTTCTTTACACGGGGCGCTTTCGCCCAGCAATCCGGGCCCCGGGACCATCGCAGGCCGATCCAGCTCGAAGAACGCCGCAGAAAGATGGCGTCTAGGGCTCTGGTTGTGATTTCTCACGGCGTGGCGCTTTTTTTCGGACGGGGTTAGGACGAGGATAAATCCGCCCAGAGCGTTCCGGAACACCCTCAGAGCGTTTTGGAACGCTCTGGGAAGGCCGCGGCGCCCGAGACATCTTCCAGAGCCGCCAGATCTCAGAGATTCTCGGTTTATCCTCACCCGATGTTATCGTGAGCGTCTTTTTTATGCGGCGTTTCGACATTGGGCGGAAAGGTGAGGAGGAGGGAGGGGGGGTCTGGCTCCGGACCTCTTGGTGCGACGGTTTGCAGCCGTGCGTCCTGTGGGGGAGACTCCACCTGCCTGAAACAAGCGCCCAAAAGCAGCCAAGATCTACTCCATGGAGGGGGGGAGGGGGGGGGGGGCGCGAGGGCCCGCGCCGATCGATCAGCGAAACCATGAACAACAAAAGCGATGACGTCCTCGTCCTGGGCTTCGCCCTGTGTCTCGCAGCGTCGGGTCTCGGGGCACGGCGCGGCTGGCCGCCGCCAGCCTGCGCGCAGGGGCACCCAGGGGGCGCGTGCTCGGGCGGGGGCCCCGGCCCTCGACCTGCGCCCTGCGCACCCTCCGCGCGGCAGGTGCCGCGGCCAGCGCCGCGGCCGCATCGAGGCGGCACCTTGCGCGCGGAAGGAGCGGAGGACGGAGGTCGAGGGAGTCCCGAGCAGTGGCGAAGCGTCCTGGCTCGCCCGTGGGATCGCCCAAGGGTTTGCCCAAGGACTGTGGCTGCTGTGCACGAAGTGTTCTCTGAACGCTTCTGGCCGAGATTGCCCTGCTTCAATCCATCGGGCTCACGGTCTGATAACATGGTCGCTGCCCTGAAAACAGGTGTTTGTCCTCGAGGAACACGTCGTGGCAGCCGTATAGGAATGCCGGACGGCCCCTGCTCGACTCCTCCTCCTCCTCGTTCACCGCCGTGCGCGCGCGGGGAGCGCGCGAGCGGCGGCCACCACATCGTGGCTTCTCCCTCCTCCTCGAGGGCGGATCGTTTCAAAATGTGGCTCTCGCTTTGGCGCCGCGCACATTCGTTGAATACATGGCAAGGGTTTCACGGATTGAGGACGGGTCGTTTTCAAAATGTCTCTCTCGCTTTAGTGCCGCGCGCATTCGTTCTAAAAGGTTGCAGGAGTTTCACGGGTTGAGGGCGGATCGTTTTCAAAATGTAGTTCTCGCCTTAGCGCCGCGCACATTCGCTTTAAACATTGCAAGAGTTTCTCGGGTTGAGGGCGTTCTTTCAAAATGTGGCTCTCGCCTGAGCGCCGCGCACATTCGTCTTTCTTTTCACACGCATGCAAGAGTTCCACTGGTTCCCGCGATCAGCGTACCATAAATTGCATTTTGGAAGGATTCCGGATTTTTCATGAGGGTGCAACAGTTACGTTGACTCTCTGTGTTGAAGTCTCAGGACTGGTGTCCTGGCACGATTCAAGATCGTCAAGACGAGTCAGTCAGGTCGATCCGTGGCGTTGGAATCCCAAGAACCATAGTTTGGCATGCTTCAGGGTATTCAATCGGTTGTCTTCCAACGAGGCAGCTCCCTCAGTGAAAATGAACCGTTGTATGGGGCCTATGAAGACGGAGTTTCGAGGGAGGGCGTATTCAGGTGACGATCCGTGGCGTTGGAATCCCAAGAACCATAGTTTGGCATGCTTCAGGGTATTCAATCGGTTGTCTTCCAACGAGGCAGCTCCCTCAGTGAAAATGAACCGTTGTATGGGGCCTATGAAGACGGAGTTTCGAGGGAGGGCGTATTCCAACATCGTTGATGACTTTTGGGCTTCCACTGGTCCTCCTCCTCCTCCTCCTCCTCCTCATCCTCCTCCTCCTCCTCCTCCTCCTCCTCCTCCTCCTCCTCCTCCTCCTCCTCCTCCTCCCCTCCTCCTCCTCCTCATCCTCCTCCTCCTCCTCCTCCTCCTCCTCCTCCTCCCCTCCTCCTTCCCCTCCTCCTCCTCCCCCACTCCTCCCCCTCTCCCTCCCTGCCCAGGCGAGGAGAGGAGGAGGAGGAGAGGAGGAGGATGAGGGAGGAGGAGGAGGGGAGAGGAGGAGGAGGAGGAGGAGAAGGAGGAGGAGGAGGATAGGAGGAGGGAGGAGGGGAGATAGAAGGAGGAAGGAAGATGCGCAGGAGCCGGGCTTCCTCCAGCCGCGGCCTGGAGCCTCCGACGCCCAGGGGGCCCCCACGGCGGGAGGGCCCCCGCGAGCCCGCTGCCGAGCAGGGCGCCCTCCCGGGGCTCTTGCCGCGCGGGGCGCTGGGCGGCTCGCCGAGGGTCTGCCGGCAGCGACCCCCCTCACGACGGGAGGTTTTTCGCTGTTTTCGGCCTCCGGAGGGCCCTGCCAGGCCTCCTCCTCCTCCCGGTTCTCCTCCCTCCCTCCTTCTCCCCCATCCGTCCTCTCCTCCTCCTCCTTCCTCCCCCTCCTCCGCCTCCTCCTCCTCCTCCTCCTCTCCTCCCTCCTCCTCCTCCTCCCATCCTCCTCCTCCTCCTCCCTCTCCTCCTCCTTCTCTCCGTCCTCCTCGCTTTCCCCTTCCGCCTCCTCCTCCTTCTCCTCCTCCTCCTCCTCCTCCTCCTCCTCCTCCCCTCCCTCCCCTCCTCCCCTCCTCCTCCCCCTCCCTTCTCCCACCTCCTTCCTCCTCCTCCTCCTCCTCTCATCCTTCTCCCCTCCTCCTCCTCCTCCTCCTCCTCCTCCTCCTCCTCCTCTTCCTCAGACCCCTTCGCGCTGTGAGCACAAATATAAGTCGGGGGGCCGACGCTGTGAAACAAAAAAAAACATGACGTCGGGGGTCTGGGACGAGGGCGCTCGCCGTGGAGCTCTGCGGGCTATGCTCGCCGGGGGCGCGGAGCCTCTAGAGTCTAGAGAGATTTCCGACGATATGCTTATGGAGAGCGGTGGCTTTTCCTCGATCTTGGCCACCGGCTTGGCATCGCTCGGACCTGTGTCTTTTTCTCGGCGGGACCAGCGCCAGAAAATCGGGGCCATCTTGGAGCATCTCGGGCCACCCTGGGGAAGACGCACGCACGAAAGCCAACCAACCATTGCGCGGGGAATGGACGTCCGAGCGATGGCAAGCCGTGGGCCGCTGCTGGGTCCCAGGACCACAGAAAATGGACCCAGGGCGAGAAGCCACCCCTGGGGAAGCGGTCGGGACCGCCCCTGAGATACGACGTAGCGAAACAGTGCAACATCGTAGGAGGAGGAGGAGGAGGAGGAGGAGGAGGAGGAGGAGAAGGAGGAGGAGGAGGAGGAGGAAGAGGAGGAGGAGGAGGAGGAGGAGGAGGAAGAGGACGCCGCCATGAGAGCGAGAGTGAAAGGAGGAGGACGAAGGGGGAGGATGAGGAGGCGGAGGAGGGAGGATGGGGGAGGTGGTGGGGACCTCCCTCTCCTGGGTTCATACCCTCGCCGCCCGAGGCGGTCGGCAGGCCTGCAGACCATGAGGACGACAAGGAGCGACCTCAGGAACTCTCTCGTCCTCCCGCACCCGCCTCCCTCCCTCCCTCCTCCCTCCTCTCTTCTCCTGCTCCTCCCTCCTCCGTCCTCCGTCCTCGTCTCCCTCACAAGCCTGGCTGAGCTCAATATTCCTCTTCCTCCTCCTACTCCTCCTTCTCCTCCTCTTCCTCCTCCCTGCCCCTCCTTATTCCCGACCCCCTTTTTCCCCTCCTTCATCCTGCTCCTCTTCCTTCTCCTCCTCCTCCTCCTCGTGCTCCTCCTCCTCCTCCTCCTCCTCCTCCTCTGTTTCCTCTCTCTCCGTTCTTCTCCGTCCCCCTCCCCTTCGTCTCCTCCTCCTCATCCTCCCCCCACTCCTCCACCGTTAAACCATCTGACGATCTCCCACCTCTCCCCGTGCTGTTCTTAACGTATAGGATGTCAAAAGATGTTCCTGGCGTTTGTTTCACCATCCTTGTGTCTGCGGTGTTTCACAATGGTGCTCCCGCTGCAGCGTGGGCCTCGCTTTCGAATCGGCGCTGTGTTTCCACCGTTCAGAATGGCGCTCTCGCCCCAGCGCGGGCCACTCCTCTGGATCTGAGTCTCGCTTCAGTGTAGGTCTCCCCTCATTTCCCCTCTTCCGCCTTCCCCTTGTCCGCATGTTCCTCCCGTTCCTTCCACTCCAAGTCCTGCTGCTGCTCTTCGTCTCGCCCCAGCGCGGGCCGCTTTTCTGAATCCGAGTCTTCCTTCATGGCTGTCGACCCCCTCGTTTCCCCTCCGCCTTCCCCTGGTCCTCCTGTTCCTCCCGATCTTTCCGCTCTAGTTCATGT